GTGCTAGTGCTAATAGATAGATTTGATTGCATAGCACGGAAGCAGTGCTTCATGCAAGGTGTGCGTGGCTCACTGCAAAATCGAGGTGACACTAATTAAGGTGATGGATGAGAGAAGAAAGTGGCAGCGCTATGCAGCTACACTTACAGAGGAGGGTAGACTGGCTTGCACAAACAGTTTGACTGTGGTGCTCCCTTTCTTGAGAGATTTCCTCAACCTCCCCACCTGGTTTAGACGCAAACACGGAGACAAGAGAAATGCAATACAGATGTTCAAGGTTTTCCCAACCATCGTACTGCTCCTCTTGAAAAAGGCTGTCAAACTTTAGCAGCTGACATTCTTTGCAAGCAACATGTCGCATAGATTTGAGACATTAAAAAAATGTGTGCATGAGCACGTGGCTATGTTTTGAGACGTCTCAAACGAGTCTTCCCCCGCACCCAACTTTCCCACTCCCATATTGCCCCTCCATCCGCTACTCACTGTCATCCCCTCCTCCTCTGCACTTGTTCGGTCGAGACGTTTCATTCGACCCCTTCCCCCACACCCCAAACCGCTGTCTGGCAACCGAAATTCCCATTTCCTTCTTCACATCTGCCTTGAATTCCGAGAACCGCATCTGATTCTTCACCGAAAAGCTCCTCACTAAAGCATGGTCGACGAGATTAAGATAGACGTTTCAGCCAATCTGCTGGCATAGGTCCTCATCCCGTGCCACCTTGATCTCTAGGACCTGGTCCTCCACACTCTTCCGCTTCAACCGAGCCTATGCCAAGGAAAGGGAGGAGGACAAGCGATGTGTGAAAGGCAACGTGCAAGGTAGAGGCAAAGTCAAGATGCTACGCCGGCTGGTGCAAATAAAGTGAGCAGTAAAGAGAAGCAAATCCCTGTCAACGGGAGTTGTGTGTTGGCCCCGTCCTCGCTTGGGCGGAGCTGACTTCGTGGTCGGGTGTGCAGGAGGTGCAGAAGGCCTGCAGCAGTGGGCGACACCGACTTGGGCGAGCTGGTCGACGGGTTGGTCGACCTGCACTTCGCCACTGCGATGCCGCAGGCTTTGGGACGCCAACAGACGACTTCAACCCGGTGGTCGACGAAGGAAGACGTCGACCTGGGAGGGGCGCCGACTTTGGGAGGGCGCCAACTTCGTGAGGTCGACTTGGGAGGTCGACCTAGGAGGGCGTCGACTTGGTGACGCCGACCTGGTGAAGCTGACCTGGTGTAGTCGGCTGACAGCTGGGCTGGTCGACCTGGAGTTGGTCGACCAGGGGTGTGGTCGACTTGGTGTGGTCGACCAGTGGTGGTCGTCGACCTTGGCGGTCGACGGGCACGAGGAGGAGCAGCTGGTCGACGTGATTGCCCGGTCGACTAGGTTACCCGGGCGACGGGGTCCTGCGGAGGTGCACGACAGTGCCCAGGTGGTTCTCGCGAAGTCGACCTCGGTGGTGGTATCCCGAGGTCGACGTGGCTGATCAGGTGCAGTCAACATCACGTGGACGATTTGATGTCTGCGCTGTGCGGGTGACGAGGCACAGCACTCCAACCATCTGCGAGCACCAGCGAAGCGGGTGCGCTGCTGTCCTGCGGGTGCAACGCTGTGCAGCCGCCTTGCTGCAGCGTTGTCACGCCGTCGACTTGCTGCGTTGGCAGACCGCGACTTTGCACTGCTGGAGCGCGGTCGACCTTGCAGTGCTGGAACGCGGTTGAATGTGCTGCGCTGGCAGTTGGCCTGCATGCTTGCTAGCATCTGATATAGTCTTGCTTGCCAACATTCTTCTAACCATTGTTGTGAACTTATGCTTATGAAACTCTTGCCAACTTTCCCTGTGAATGCGCAAGTAGAGTAAGCAGAAGTGAACGACTAAGGAACGGACGCAGAGATCACCCTCACTACCGTGCCTACCCCGTGGACTAGCTCCCGTTGTTTCAGTTATCTCCGCAATCCCAATGTACAACAGTGACCAGGTGCAAAAGCTAACCTGAACTAGACAGAAAGATAGCCAGAAGGACACGTGATGCTAACTGAAGACAAGGGAAACGGTGCAAGAGAAGCAAGACATACTTGCAACGGCTGCACAATGCCATTCACATCGTTGCTGCAGATATTCCTCTCCCGGTCGTACTGGCGGATGTGGACTAGCACATAGGCATTGGATTACAGCTAGGAGGAGTTGAAGGGTGTGTGATTGAGGACAGAATGAGAGACAAACGACAGAAAGAGTAGAAACGGGAGTTAACCACATGCGAATGCTTTCGTCTGCTCATGTGACATGGAATAGGCTCGAAGCCATCAACTCAAGCCAAGTAGAGTACGTCAAATCAAGCTGAACAGATGGCTTGACACCATAGTCATTTGAGTAAGGGTTTGGGCGAAAGCGTATACATTCACCAAAAACTATAGTTGCCATGGCATGTTTGGCAAACGTATAACATGAAGCATTGGCCCATCATATCTTCCTTCCGCAACCTGTGCAAAACATGCGTGCAAAATACCACATTTTTTACTCGCAATTTTGGACTCATACCTCCTCATCGCCTCTGAATTGCTCCTTTGCTACTTCTTTGTTGTCAAACTTGTGCCTGTTTGGGAAGCGCGAAAGGTGGGCGTTGGGGAGAGTGACAAGGAGATATGTCCAACAGATAGGGGGTATAACAAGATTGTGCATGTATGTCCTCCTAATTAATAATAAAACTACAGAACACATGAATGCTATATGCACAGTTGAAAAAGCACCCATTTTGCGCTCTACAAATTCCAACTGTCCCACAAAAAATGGTTCAAAGAAAAGAAGGAAATAGAGACTGAGCATGAATCCGAGTGAGGGGCAACCCGATGAGTGTAGGGAAGTAAACAAAACTCAGCAAACAAAACAGGAAAGCATTGGAAGAATGAGCAATTAGGAAGAAGTGAAGCTATGACCCATGCAGAAAGACTCAAAATTGGATTCCGCATGAATCCTAGCCAGATGCAAAGTATACCATTGGGATCCGAGGTCCGGACGAATCAAGGCATAGCAGTGCCCATTGACTCCACTGGTGTGGGCCAAAACACTGTGTGTGTGAGAACAAAGAGTGGAATGACTGCAACATGATGAGCATAGTAAGGATGCCTGTGCAAACCTATGGCAATGGATGGAATTTTACCTAGAAATGGTGCCAGCTTATTCAGCCATTATTACCAAATGTTTTCACCCCCTACTGTTCCATCAACAGAAGCCCTTCCTTCCTACCACCCCTGCAGCTTTCACATGTGCATTACTGCACGGGTGGGGTGGGAGTGCCAGAGCTCAAGCCTTGTCGCACCTGTGCAACGGGTAGAGATTGCGGCCTGTCCTGTCCAAGTCTATAGTGAGGTACTTGCCACTGTCCTTATCCAAGTCCAGCTTCAGGTCGTTGACCTTGAGTGCAGGTGCGGGTGGGTGGGAGGGCCGGTTGGATGGGGGGCAGGCAAAAAGGGATAGAGGAATGGAGCAGAGAATAGAAGTAATGGAAGGGGCAGGGAGAGACCTCTCCCAATCCAGCTCCAGACGAAATCTGTACAAGAGAGGGGGATGAGCACAAGCGGACGCAAGAGGGGAGTTTGGATAGTGCTAGTTATGAAGATTGCAAAGGCATGCAAACATACTCAGGAATGGAAACCGCTCTAGCAAGTCAGCGAATCAATTGAGAAATACACATGTTAGATGCTTGAACTGGGATCTTCCTTGCTAAGAACCTTTTGGCAGCCAAAGAGTTGGTTCATGTGTACAACACAATGACATAGCATAACATAGTCTGGTACCTTCACTGTATTCCAGAACGTTGAATGGGACTCGAACCGCTTCAACTGCAGATGCATCACCAGTGGGAGGTCGAAAAAAAAAAAAACACGCCTTTGTTGGCGTCCTGCCATTGTCAATAGCATACACGACAAGACACGATAGCAGCAATACCAGAAGATGGGACGCACAAAGAGGGAAGATACGGTATTGCCGAAAAGAAAGGGGTTTTGTTGCCCTGCCATTGTAAGACTAGAAAGCATCCAGGGCGAAACTAAGTCAAGTCAACAGCAGAGACGTGTGGACGATAAAGAGGCAACAGAACTGGATAGAAGGAAACAGCACGCGGAAACATAATAAGCACCGACCAGCCAGTAGAAACATTGATGGCTGGATGCATGGTATGGTCCTACTCTTTGGTGCAAGGACCAATGCACCATGGTAGCTAGCAATGCAATTATAGAACCCACCCATCAAACGTAGTGTAATCCTTGCCTTACCTTTCCCAATGTCAATTCAATTGTTACACGACGTGTATTCCATGCGTTAACCAACAAACACCCACATGTACGCCATGCTGTTCCGCATATAACTTGGTGTTACCCTCAAGCTGCTTCATCTCCACATATTTGTCCAAGCTTGCATACACATACTTGCACCCCTTCACATCCAACAGCATGCCTGCAAACGATCAACACGGCAGGACAATACCAAATGTCGAGGTTGATTGTAATAACCAGTTTCATAAATACAATAAATTATCATTAATTCATCCATGCTCATCAGCACTCACTAGCAAACGGCTCTTTCCATGCGCACTTGTGATCCACGTTAATGCATTCAATGTAACTCATGACATGTCCACCGAGAGGCTTCTTCATACTGCCCTCCACAGCTGTGGGGTTGTCGTTCACCCATTGTGACGTCATGTTGTCGTAAGCTGCACCCCCTGTGCACACTCTTGCTCGCTACGTTGTTGTCTTAAAAAAACTATTTTGTTCGACCCAACAGCCCACGACAACGCTTCAATAGAAGCCGAGAACTGCATGCCATGAATTAGTCATGAAGGTAGGGTTAGTAAAAAAAAAAAAAAAAAAAAAAAAAAAAAAAAAAAAAAAAAAACGAACTCGTGGTGCGTGGCAGTGCAACCCACCTGGGGGGTAGACGACACCGCGGTGCAGTGCAATTTGCGGGACGTGCAACGATGCCGTTATGTGCCGCAGTGAGCAGGGAGGAGCGCACACCTTAAGTGGGGGAGGGGAGTGATGGAATAGGTTTCTCAGCAAGAACGATAGTAGTTTGAGTGCTCAGACCCAACTCGATAGGGTGCTGCAAAACGTTGGCAAAGGGGATCCTGGACAAAGGGGGAGTGGAGGGGGAGAATACAGAAAACGGGGGTGAAGAGAGAGGACGAGTGAGGGATGGGGCGTGGCTGGTCCAGGGCCTCAGGGCGGTGTCCTTGCTGGTAAGAGTTCGAAAATATGGTCGACCTTATCTGGAAACGTGCTTCGCGAATCTCGTTGAGAGTAAGTCGCGACGTTCGTCAACAATACGCCAAATCAGGGAAACGAACAAGGACACCGAAATCTGGTCGAACTTACAATTGACCGTTCGCGAGCACCTTTTGGAGAACGTGTGTGCTTTTGCACAAAGCTGTGATAGTTGCGACAGTGACGAAAAACCTCGCGCGCGCTAATGAATTGTTTTTAGTTTTGCGGCGTTTCCTACCACCACATGGACGACATCGTATCATCGTTGGCTGCTCGGGTAACCTGCGGGTAACCTACGAGTAACCTACGGAGTTTGGATGCGACTCGGGCACTGCTCAATAAGGTCGAACCTAGATAGTCGACCATCATTGTTCCTATGTGCCTGAAAATAAATGTGAACATGCGCTTCGACACAATAACCCCAGATAGTCGACTGCAGGTTGACCATTGTTTTTTTTTTAGAATTCGAATTAAAAACATGAACTTTACAAATTGTGCCGAAGGACACACGCCCTCATAACTGGCCCCTGGGTGGGACGGAGGGCACAACAGGGAGGAAATGGGATCCTGGGCAGAGGGAGATTGGGGGGGGGGGGGGAGAAAAAGGAAAAGTGAGGGGAAGAGAGAGGACGGGTGAGGGATGGGGCGTGGCTGGTCCAGGGCCTCATCACTGGCCCGTAGGTGGGACGGAAGGCACAACAGGGGGAAGATGAGATCCTGGACAGCGGGGGGGGGGGGGGGGGGGGGAAGAAAACAGAAAAGGGAGGGGAAGAGAGAGGACGGGTGAGGGATGGGACGTGGCTGGTCCAGGGCCTCATAACTGGCCCCTATGTGGGACGGAAGGCACAACAGGGAGGAAATGGGATCCTGGACAGAGGGAGACTGGGGGGGAGAGAAAACAGAAAAGGGAGGGGAAGAGAGAGGACGGGTGAGGGATGGGGCGTGGCTGATCCAGAGCCTCATCACTGGCCCCTAGGTGGGATGGAAGGCACAACAGGGGGGAAAGGGGATCCTGGACAGTGGGGGGGTGGGGGGTGGAGAAGAGTGAGGGGAATGACGCAGGTTTTTTCTGCCAAGATTGGAAGAGGAGTGATACCATGGAGGAAGGGGAGTGATACCATGGCAGAAGGGGAGTGAAACCATGGAGGAAGGGGAGTGATACCGTGGGGGAAGGGGAGTGATATCGTGGGGAAAGGGTTGTGATACCGTTTGGAAAGGGGTGTGATACCGTGGGGAAAAGTGTGTGATACCGTGAGGAAAGGGTATTGATACGATGGGGGAAGGGGAGTGATATCATGGGGGAAGGGCAGTGATACCATGGGGGAATCGGTGTTGAAGGAGGGGGGAAAAGGAGTGCCACAGTGGGAAAACAAGAGTGCTACCGTGGTGGAAGGGGAGTGCTATCGAAGGGGAAAGGGAGAGCAACCGTGGGGGAAGGGGAGATATCCCGTGGGGAAAGGGGAGTGATACTATGGGGTAAGGGGCGTGCTACGTTGGGGAAAGGGTGTGCTACCGTGGGGGAAAGGGGGTGCTACCGTGGTGGAAAGGGAGTCCTACCGTGGGGGAAAGGGAGTGCTACTGTGGGGGAAGGGGAGTGCTACCCAGGGGGAAATGGAGTGCTGCTGTGGAAGGGGAGTGATACCATGGGGGAAGAGGTGTGATACCGTGGGGGAAGAGGTGTGATACCGTGGGGGAAGAGGTGTGATACCGTGGGGGAAGAGGTGTGATACCGTGGGGGAAGAGGTGTGATACCGTGGGGGAAGAGGTGTGATACCGTGGGGGAAGAGGTGTGATACCGTGGGGGAAGAGGTGTGATACCGTGGGGGAAGAGGAATGCTATCATGGGGGAAGAGGAATGCTATCATGGGGGAAGAGGAATGCTATCATGGGGGAAGAGGAATGCTATCATGGGGGAAGAGGAATGCTATCATGGGGGAAGAGGAATGCTATCATGGGGGAAGAGGAATGCTATCATGGGGGAAGAGGAATGCTATCATGGGGGAAGAGGAATGCTATCATGGGGGAAGAGGAATGCTATCATGGGGGAAGAGGAATGCTATCATGGGGGAAGAGGAATGCTATCATGGGGAAGAGGAATGCTATCATGGGGGAAGAGGAATGCTATCATGGGGGAAGAGGAATGCTATCATGGGGGAAGAGGAATGCTATCATGGGGGAAGAGGAATGCTATCATGGGGGAAGAGGAATGCTATCATGGGGGAAGAGGAATGCTATCATGGGGGAAGAGGAATGCTATCATGGGGGAAGAGGAATGCTATCATGGGGGAAGAGGAATGCTATCATGGGGGAAGAGGAATGCTATCATGGGGGAAGAGGAATGCTATCATGGGGGAAGAGGAATGCTATCATGGGGGAAGAGGAATGCTATCATGGGGGAAGAGGAATGCTATCATGGGGGAAGAGGAATGCTATCATGGGGGAAGAGGAATGCTATCATGGGGGAAGAGGAATGCTATCATGGGGGAAGAGGAATGCTATCATGGGGGAAGAGGAATGCTATCATGGGGGAAGAGGAATGCTATCATGGGGGAAGAGGAATGCTATCATGGGGGAAGAGGAATGCTATCATGGGGGAAGAGGAATGCTATCATGGGGGAAGAGGAATGCTATCATGGGGGAAGAGGAATGCTATCATGGGGGAAGAGGAATGCTATCATGGGGGAAGAGGAATGCTATCATGGGGGAAGAGGAATGCTATCATGGGGGAAGAGGAATGCTATCATGGGGGAAGAGGAATGCTATCATGGGGGAAGAGGAATGCTATCATGGGGGAAGAGGAATGCTATCATGGGGGAAGAGGAATGCTATCATGGGGGAAGAGGAATGCTATCATGGGGGAAGAGGAATGCTATCATGGGGGAAGAGGAATGCTATCATGGGGGAAGAGGAATGCTATCATGGGGGAAGAGGAATGCTATCATGGGGGAAGAGGAATGCTATCATGGGGGAAGAGGAATGCTATCATGGGGGAAGGGGAGTGTTACCATGGGGGAAAGGCTGTGCTACCGTGGCACAAGGGTACGTGCCGGAATGGGTGAACCGTCGGGGAATGTGAGAGCTTCCATGGGGCTAGTGGATACCTACCGGGACAGAATGGAGAGTACTACAATGGTCAAAGGAAACCCTGCCAACCAAAGTGGGTAACAACGAATAACATTCCTTGTCCCTGCCTTCTCTGACACCCTGAGACGTGTGGTAAGTGACCCTTTTAGACACATGCGACGTGAGTGTTCGGCGGCGCGCGGTCCATTGAAATAACGATACAACTCAGATCCCACCGTCACAATGCATGTCTCGTATGGCAAACCTAAACGCGTGTGTGTGCGATCTGATTGTAGACTTCCCCTGATAGTTGCGAGTAATCTGCATCGACTGAATTGGCGGCGATCCCAGCACCCGGACCACGTTCTTCTCGTCCCGTCATCCCTTGGACACTTGGAGGATTGGCCTTCTAAACTTGCTGCATATGTTGAGTGTTTACTAGCTCAATGAGTTGGTGCATTTTTCTGCTCAACGAGTTGCTTGCACCAAACCTAGTTTGATCTCGGCTGGCACTTTCCTAGGTCGTGGAGTGTGTGTTTGGCGATGCTATAATATTGGCATTTTTGTCGCCTAGAACTAGTGGTAACATTGGCGACACTCAAAGACAGACGAATATTTTTTGTCACATTCGGGAACCCAACCCTCATTGCCTGCCAATTTGATTTCATGTCCCAACCAAGCTTTCTAAGTTTGAAACTCTTGGACCTCTGGTTTTAAGTAACAGGTGCGTGCGCCCATAACCCTCCAGGCTCTATAGCTATAGCCCTTCCCAAGGATAAATCTGGTATCCCCAGTGCAGGTCTTTTGACTGCGGAGATAACTCGTACAACGGGAGCTAGTCTACGGGTAGGCACGGGGTAGGAGTGATCGTAGCATTCGTGTCAGATTTATATGACATAGCTACTGTAGGCTAGAGTGGGGTAGCACATATGGGGTACAGTTTTCTAGGGTTTGCTTCTTGTACCCAACTTTCACTTAGTCATCCTCATTCCTGTTTTTCTTGATTCACATGGTATAGAGCGGGTTCCTACATGGGACCGTTCCTTCCTAAGGGCCCACCATAAGAAATTTTTTTTTAGCTGCCCGCGCACATTGCGCCCTGCCCTAAAAATTTTTTTTAGCGGCCCCTACGCCGCCTCCCACGCGCCCCCTATGCGGCCCCTGGCGGCGCCCTGACGAGGCCCCTGCCGGCGCCCTATCGCGGCCCCTGACGCGCCCCCCCTGGTGGCGCCCTGACGCGGCCCCTGGCGGCGCCTGACGCGGCCCTGACGCGGCCTGACGCGGCCCCTGGCGGCGCCCTGACGCAGCCCCTGCTGCGGCCCTGACGCGGCCCTGCCGCGGCCCCTGACGCGGCCCTGACGCGGCCTGCCGCGGCCCCTGCCGCGGCCCTGAAGCGGCCCCTGACGCGGCCCTGACGCGGCCCTGACGCGGCCCTGCCGCGGCCCCTGGCGGCGCCCTGACGCGGCCCCTGACGCGGCGCCCTGACGCGGCCCCTGCCGCGGCCCTGACGCGGCCCTGCCGCGGCCCCTGACGCGGTCCTGACGCGGCCTGCTGCGGCCCCTGCCGCGGCCCTGAAGCGGCCCCTGACGCGGCCCTGAAGCGGCTCTGCCGCGGCCCTGACGCGGCCCTGACGCGGCCCCTGACGCGGCCCCTGCCGCGGCCCCTTACGCGGCCCTGACGCGGTCCTGCCGCGGCCCCTGGCGGCGCCCTGACGCGGCCCCTGACGCGGCGCCCTGACGCGACCCTGCCGCGGCCCCTGACGCGGCCCCTGCCGCGGCCCCTGACGCGGCCCCTGACGCGGCCCCTGTCGCGGCCCCTGACGCGGCCCCGCCTCCTCTCAGCGGCTCCGCCGCCTCCTCTCAGCGGCCCCGCCGCCTCCTCCCAGCGGCCCCGGACGCCGCCCTCTCAGCGGCCCCGCCGAGCCGCCCAGCAGCCGAGCCGCCGAGCCGCCCAGCAGCCGAGCCGCCCAGCAGCAGAGCCGCCGAGCCGCCCAGCAGTCGAGTCGCTGAGCCGCCCAGCAGCCGAGCCGCTGAGCCGTCCAGCAGCCGAGTCGCCGAGCCGCCCTGCAGCCGAGCCGCCCGAGCCGCCCTGTCCGGTAAGAGCAGCGCCTCTCTCACAGCACTGCCCTCACCCCACTGTTTGCACTGCTAGTCTACTACTGTCATGGCTACCCCTAGTGTCCTCGCTTTTGACGCTGAGGGTCGGGCCATTGACTTTGACGTCTGGATAGATGACCTGCAGCTTTTCTTACAGTGCGATAGGGCAGACGGCCTCTCCCTCTTTGACCTCACTTCTGGTGCCTCTCCTGCTCCCGCCACTGATGCTGACGCAACTGTTCGCTCCCAGTGGGCCACGCGCGATGCTGCTGCACGTCTTGCTGTGCGTCGCCACCTGCCTACCTCTGAGCGTGCGCACTTTAGCCAGTACAAGAGTGCTCAGACCTTGTACGACGCTGTAGTTGCACGCTACTCCTCCCCTGCCACTGCTGCACTGAGCCGCCTCATGCTACCGTACCTCTTCCCTGACCTTGCTGCCTTTCCCACAGTCGCTGACCTCATCACGCACCTCCGCACTAGTGACACTCGCTACCGCGCTGCGCTTCCTGCTGAGTTCTGCGCCAAGAACCCCCCCCCCCATGTACATCACCCTCTACTACATCGTCACCCGTCTCCCTGACTCCCTTCGCGTAGTCAGGGACCACTTCCTCTCGGTTTGTCCCACCACTCTCACCGTTGACCTCCTCGAGAAGGCCCTCCTAGCAGCAGAAAAGAGCATAGTCGCTGTAGGAGCCTCTCGTGGTGACCCTCGCACCCCCATCTTTGAGGGGTGTTCCCCCTCCCCTCTTTTGCCCTCTGTTGCCTCTGCTGCTGCGGCCGACCTCGCTGGTTTGGAGTCGGTTGGGGCAGCGTCTACCCCTAGTGGGAGACGCCGCCCTGGCAGGGGCAAGGGGGGCAGGGGCGCTGGAGGAGCTAGCGGGGGCGGTGGAGGCGGCGGTGGAGGTGGTGGAGGAGGTGGTGGTGGCGGTGGGAGTGGTGGCGGGGGTGGAGGTGTAGGTGGCGGCAGTGGAGGCGCAGGAGGCAGCGGCGGTGGCGGAGGGAGCGGAGGTGGCGGCGGTGGAGGAGGAGGCGGCGGAGGAGGTGGAGCTGGTCGGGGTGGCGCTGCGCAGAGGGTCAGCTCCGGTGGTGGTCAGCGCCAGCAGCAGCAGCAGCAGCAGCGCACTCGTGACGTCCCCTCCCCTCAGCAGCTCCGTGAGTGG